AAATTCTACGTAGAGCGCTTTTTTTTCTCGAAAATAATGTGAAGAAGTAAAACTTCTTACATGATTATTGAAAAGAAGTCCTACTGATAATTCTTCCACCAAATACGACAGAAACAGACTCGAGCGCGCATTATAAACCTGAGTCTGCAGCCAAATGGCTTTAATTAAATGTTTACCTTCTCGCAATGTTGTTAAAAAATGAGATTTTTTTTAATATAATCCACGCGTGTACGCTGCTGGTCTATACACAGTCTGGAGGCTGTTTCATTAAAGTTATTAAGTGCTCGACTTACTAACTCTAAACTTAGAAATGAAGAATCTTTAAATACTAAAAGATACGATTTTATCAAATATTTTAGATGAAACTTTTAAAAAAATTAGATTAACATTTTGTTTAAGTGACTTAAGTAAGTTTAAACTTACTTAAGTCGAGCACTTGAATATTTGGTTCTTCTACAGATCTATTCCATACATATATCATTCTCTGAAAAAACTTTAGTTTGCAGCTTTCTTCGAAGAATTATCCCAATTCACTGAATTTCCCTTCCAGGATGCATCAATTATACGAATTCAAAAGAAAATTCATAATCAAATAATTTTCTTTCTTTTGTTTTCTTCTATATATTCCTTCTACAAAGATTGTGACCTGTTCTCCTCACGTTCTACTATTCAAACTCATAAGGTGTTTTGCAGAAAAGAAGCGTTCACTGTTCAGAGTCAAGAGAAGTTTTAGGCTGAAGATCATACTTCAAAACCGTTCACATCGGAATGTGTCACATTAAAAGGTTTTATAGTTATTTCTTTTTAGTATTCATTTTAGATAAAAGAACACTTCGTCTATTATTCTTTGAATTTTGCAGCGTAGTACGAGTGGGGTGGCTGTTTGTCTCTGTAAAAACATGCCAATCTCACCGGACTATTCTGCAAATTCATATGTCGTCGTTAGCTATAGATAACTAACTCTAGCGGTACGTAAAACCGCTCACTACCGCGATCGTTGCATCGGATAATAAAATGTAACAGCTACTATCCACAGTATCAGTAACTGCAGCCGGCGATTCTTAGTGCACTTCAGCTAGTTGGGCAGCGGTATTGAATAGGTTATGGAGAACAGTTCGACTAGTTGTAGCGTACGATTCAGCGGCCGTTGCAGCTAGTTTCAACCAAACGTAGAGCCGCAGCTAGCGATTTACTGGGCGCTGCAGCTAATTGGACAGCGGGTATCGAATAGATTATGAAGAACAGTTCGACTAGTTGTAGCGTACTATTCAGCGGCCGTTGCAGCTAGTTTCAACCAAAAGTAGCCATTCTTTTCATCTTTTCAAAACAATTATAGTTCTGATAATACATCACATGTCCGGAAGTATTTTCCGTTTACTGGAATCCAATAAAAAAGGAAAGATTTACAATGCGTTTCTTAACAAAGCGCATGTCTATGATTATTCAAAACGACTGTTTTGTATAACACCAGTAGTTGTATAAGGTTGAAAAGAGATTGCTTCATTAATCTTGATTGTGTAGTTTATTAGTGAACAACCGCAGTATTTGATCACGGCCAATAACGGCAAAAACACCTTATTCTAAAAAGATAAGAATACGATAGGTCCGATCAGACTGTTCTCGACGTGTCTGCTGAAAAGAAAATCTATGCTTTCTCTTTTTCTCTCCTATCTTCTTACTCATGATCACTGAAAAGCACGCAAATCATATATTGGATAAAGGAAGTGAACTCTGCTGCGAATATCAAAATTGAACATAACTTCTAGGTATTTTTAGATGTTATAATTCAATAACTAGATAGCTCAGCTTTAAATATATATATAAGCGTCAGAGTTGTAATCGGGCCCGCACACAGACCGGTCAGTGGCCGGCCCGGTCCGGTGTATGTTTTATGACATACAGCTAAGTGTGCTTCAAATTCAAAAATTGAAGACTACGTTTTAGCTTTATAGTTCGTTTTTCTATTCCTTGTTTACTTCGTGGAAGCATAGTAGCTAAATATAGATATAAAATTATAATTAAGAACAGAATAGTACGTGAGGAATTAAAGATGTCTCTTATCTAAATTAAGAAAGTTTGCAAAAGTTCCAAAACTTGGAAACTAGATGGCGGACCGACCACGAGTCTTTTGGGATTTTCAGCATCAAAACTTCACTTAAACGCAAAAATAAGGTAATATTTGGAATCAGTGTCTTTGAAGCTTTTTAGAGAAAAGAAAAGTTTTGTCAAAATTTTCCCCGAAACTGATTTGGAATCAGCGTGAGAAACTGCATCAGATGATGATGTATCTTTCAAGTTTCGATCTTTTATGATCAGCTTCCGGGGAAAATTTGACAAACATTTCTCTAAAAAGCTTCAAAGACGCTGATTCTAAATATTGCCTTATTTGTGCTTTTAAGTGAAGTTTTGTTGACGAAAATCCCAAAAAACTGAAAACTAGAAACTGAAAAACTGAAATATCAGAAGGTTGAATTCATAAAGAGAAAAATAAGCGAGGAATAAGCGACAAGGAGAAAAGACAAATAAGACTATAATAGATAAGGACAGAACCGAACAAGTGCTTTAATGACGTAAGATATAGTCGCTACTTTAGCCACAATACTCATTTCAAGTTGGATGCTATAACTATATCATTTGAAATAGATCATCTTGCTCATGATCACTCAAAAGCACGCCAGTCATATATTGGATAAAGGAAGTGAACTCCACCGCGAATATCAAAATTTAACACATCATAAGTTCTGGATACTCTTACGAGGGAAGGTCCCCAGGTGTCCAAGCCGTTTAGACCCCATCTTTTGGCCATAAGTAGATCTCAATGAGATATGAAAGACCTGAAAAGAATTCATTCCCTTGGCTCTTGAAGACCCGGTTTTCTGGAAAACCAGTGTTTGAGAAACTCTAAAAGTAACCAAAACCTTTTCTTAATGAGACCTGATTGTAGCCCGCAAATTTCTAATTAAAATGAGACATCTCCTACTTTACATGACCTTTCTTTGCAAAGTTATAGAGTTTACAAGAAAAGACCTAAATTAATTTCTTCTTATTTCTGTTCTGTGTAGCTTTGCGCTGACAGTGAATATTTAGGGCTTTACTTGTAAATTATATAACTTTGTAAAGAAAGGTCGCCTAGAGGTGGGAGATGTCTCATTTCAGCCAATTTCGAGTCCATAACCAGAGGCGAGGGTTGACACGATGCCTCGCTAGTTTTACCAGCAAAGCATCGTGCCAAACCCTATCAAAGGCTGACACGAAGTCTACGAAGAGAATGAGACCGGGTCTCGACGAGGAGACAGCAACACGGGCCTGCTCGAGAACGGAAAGAACCCGAGTTTGTTGACGCAGGCCCGGTTGAAAGCCGCTCTGAACGTCCGGTATCAAATTCTGGTCCCTCACAAACTCAGACAGACGTCGGTTGAAAACTTTCTCCTACGGCTTCCCGATCGCATTCAAAATCGATATGGTTCGCAATTCGTCTAAAGAGGGAAACTGACCCTTTCGGAGAGAAGAAACAACCTTGCCGTTTTAAAACATTTCGGAAAAGAGTCGGTCAAAAAAGCTGATTAAATAAAGTAACAAATAAGCAAATATATTCAGCGGGCAGCTTTCGTAAAGAATATTAGAAGTACCCTAAGGATCGAGCACACGTTTCGATTTTAAATGATTTAGTTCGTTCTCAATTTCATGATACGTTACCACAAAAGGATCGCCTGGATCTGTCGAAAATTCTAGCTCTTGTTGCACTTCTTCTTTAGTTTCGCGTAAAATCTCTTCTACCGGTAAACGAAAGTGATTTTTATAATGTTCAGCAAAACGGTCTAAAATCTGTTGTGGATCGGAAATTAGGTCGTTTTCATGAGTTAGCGCTTTAATTTGAGGAGCATAAGTAGTAAAATGTTTTGCTGTGTACTTCCAGAAAATAGTAGCGTCTCGAGTTGAGCAGTTATCTAATAAATGAATGTACTGATTGGTCCGATGGTTTTCTATGAAAGAGTTCACATAAGCACGTTGTTCTTTGTATAAAAAAAGCGAGAGGTCACCCCTGTTTCGATGTTTATGAAATTTGTTCCTCAGCTTGCGCAGTTTTAAAATCTCAGTCCGAATTGTAAGTGGCAGAGAGCAGCGATACTTTTTGACTGAAATCATTCGAGAAACACGAACTAATAAAGATCCTAGTAAATTCGGAAACAAATCGCAGAATTCTTCGGCGCTGAACTGATAAAGAAGATGATTTAAATAAGGAAAGACAAATGATAGAAAAATAGTGTAGACAGATCACCGAACGTCTTTAAAGTAATACATAGAGCTAGTAGCAAAACCGCTGGTGTGCAGCACTGGTCAATGATCAGAAGTGCCTGATTCCAGGATGCTAGTGCAAGGATTCGGATACGATGTTATTAGCACGTCAAAGTAGAAGTTGTCGCTCTTTTAAACATCGCTTATGTGGCGCTAACATTCAAGTTCAGCTCTTCGATAAATTGATCGAATTGTCGTCCACGGTTGTCTGTTGAAGTACAGCCCCACAGATCCGAGTACGCGTTAAAATCTCCAAGCAGTTGACATGGCGTATTCGAACACACCGAGCGTAGTGAACTCAGTGGTAAATCTGAAGACCGTGGCGCATAGCATGCTGCCACCTGAATCGAAACTAAACCTAAGCAAACTGAAACTGCGAGCAAATTAGGTTCTGCAAAAACAACCGTAGCCTGAACTGAATTATGCACTAGAAGTAATATTCCGCCGTGCGCGTTTGTACCAGGTGTAAAGAAACGTATGTATGAAGGAAACCAAGCATGATTTAAGTTCGAGATAGCGTTCCCGGTTTCGATCAAAGCACAGACAGTTGGTGCACTAAAATTTATAATTTTCTCAACTTCGGGTAATCGACTCGATAAGCCTTCGACATTAAACAAAAGAGAAGACAACAGTTTTGTAGTAAGAAAACTGTCGCAGGAAAAAGAGTTCCAAAAATTTGACAAACTTGAAATAGAACGCTTGGAGTTCCACTCGTGAACTAGTAGCTTTAAAAGCTCTCGATCGAGATCACATAACTCTTCGAAATTAGACGTCACACCATAATAAATCTATACAAGGATCGAAAAAAGCAAAAGGTGGAGCTAAAGGGTTAAAATTCATGTTGGGTAGGATGCAGAAGTCGAAATAACGTTAGTAGTCGGAGGTGGTGAAGGAAAAGGAAATTTTGACATTAAATTTGAAAAAACCCTTGAACTCTGAAAAAAGCTAGTTTCAGTCACAGTTACTGCTTCTTCTAAACATTTTGTCATTCTTCTCACTTTCTGCTTTAGCCTTTATACCTAAAAGAGAAACTGTCTGTCTGTTTGGTTTACCTTCCATACAAGATATTTTTTCGTCCAATTTAACTAACGAATCAGCTAATGTAAATACACATGGAATTACAACTTTGCTAACTAAACGCTTCATTTGTTCTACTTTTGATGATACACGGTCGACTTTTGCACCTAACATGTTAATTTGATTACTAAGATTCAACATTGTATGAACATGAGCTTTATTAATTTCCGATACCTGTTGCTGATAATGTTGCATGTGATCTTCAACATCACAACGCCTAATTAGTGAATCTTTCCCACCATCGGTTCTATTGAGAACATTAGTATAAGTAGATAACTGTGCCTGTCTAACAGATGAGGACTTACTGGTGATACTGTACGATTAACCTGTTGTTTAACATGAGATGTAACACGATTTTGTGCAGGTGTAAGAGGAAAAACGCTGTTCGGACGACTTCTAAATGCTTTAGGTATGTGTACATGATCAGGAACCGTATCTTTTTCCAGCAGCTGTTTAATTAATTCTCTTCTATACTGTAACAATGCAGGGCACTGAGAATATGTATAAGAATGATCACCACAGCAATTCCTGCACTTAGTAACATTGGTACACATATGTGGTGAATCAAGAGATCTTTCTGCAGAACAGACAGCACAGTATTCATGAGCACTTGCACATTGGCACGATATCCCTGGCATTTTGAGCATAGCATGATCCTAGGCGTACCCAAATAACGTTTCACTGTTAGCTTCAAATGATTAACATAAATAAACCCATTATTCAGACATTTTATGTAACCACGATTGTCATGGAAGTTAACCTTAACACTTCGTGTTCGACTAGATGCAGGACAGACAAAAAGAACGGCATCCGCAGAGGCATACTGCTCCTGAACATCAGCTATTACTTCTGCTTCTGATAGCTGACAAGAAACTCCCATAGCTAAAACACTCATCTGTGGAGGTATATGCTTAGGCTGTTCAATGTTAAATTGTTGACTATTAATACTTCTTGGATATGTTTCATTCATAAGTAACTGTGAAAATGCTTCACGATTATCACCATAAACAAACAAATATTCCTTTGTACTATCAATTCGCCAAAATGAAACCAAGTCACGAGTTCTAACATTTCGTCTTTTTAATTCATCGATAAACTGTCTAGTAATCTAATGAGCATATCGAGTCGAAATAGATTTGGCTGGAGATTTTTTGCAGACGAGTTGAAGAAAAATGTTTTATGCAAGTTACTTATTAGCATAAGGACATGACTAATTCGAAAATATCTCTGCTCAGGTCTTTTCCGTTACCGAGATAGGCGCCATTATCCGTAAAATAACTACCTTTCCTGCCGACTACTTATAATCATACATTTATGAATAAAATAACCATAAGTAGCTCGAGTACAGTATAGAGACATGTTGCCAGGTGCGAGCTTACTTTTCATGGGTAGAAATCGTGAAAAAATCAGAAGTCCGACATGGAATACATATACCGTTTTCTTTCGAACCGGACGCAAGTATAATCGGCCCAATTTACTATGAAACAAGACCAATCACCAAGGAAATTCTTCTTCAAGAACACCACCAAGACTGGTCACGTGTAGGCACAAATTAATCTTTAGAGTACATTTTATGGAAGAGACACCGAGGCAAGCCAGAAACTAGCGAGCCACCAAGACTTCACTGCAATGCTTTTTCTGATACTATCTTAGATGGATGTCAATCAAGAATATGATCACTTCGGTTACTTACTAATGACACTTATTGCGAAGCTCTGTCTTAGGAATGCCAGCATTCCGGAAGCTTTCATGCCTTTCGTCATTACTTTTCATCTTTTTCGCTTTCCTTATCAGTGTCCCTTGATATAGATAAATGGGAACTATTTTTTCCGTTTTTTGGTATTCGTTTTTCTTTCTGACGTCGAAGTTAGCGGTTTTTTGTTGTCGTGAGGAAGATTCAAATTAAACGTTGAATATAACACTCTGAGATCAAGTGTAACTGTAATCATCTGAATAATCTCGTAGTGTTGAACATTTATATTTCTGTAGCACAAAGCAAGTAACGCCTCTTTCTAATACATATTTAGATCGTTTCATTACCCGACAACATCCTCATTCAAATGATAAATCCAATCACCAAACGTTTCCAAGTTCTTAGAATGACCAATATTATTGATGATTAGTGAGGGCTTACAAATTATCAACAAAATAATAAATTGTACCGTTTCCAGCATAAACGGCTGACCCACACTTTTTTCTGAATAAATGGCTATACAGTTCCTATTCCCGTAGCTTGTCTCGCACAAATGCCTAATTTCTAGCATAAATGGCTTTTTTCATAGCATAAACGGCATAGCCATTTATTACTATCCAGCATAAACCGCTCTTTCACTATCATAATTTCTTTATTCCGGAAGGTTATCTAGCATTAATGGCTAATTCCTAGCATAAATGGCTTTTTTCTTAGCATAAATAGCTCTGCCATTTATTAACCTCTAGCATAAATGGCATGGCCATTTATTAACCTCTACCATAAATGGCCCAGCCATTTATTACTCTCCAGCATAAACCGCTCTTTCTCTTTCGCAATTTACCTATTCCGGAAGGTTGTCTCGCATAAATGGCTTATTTCTAGCATAAATGGCTTTTTTCTTAGCCTAAACAGCTCTGCCATTTATTAACCTCTAGCATAAATGGCATAGCCGTTTATTACTCTCCAGCATAAACCGCTTTTTCTCTTTCGCAATTTACCTATTCCGGCAGGTTGTCTAGCATAAATGGCTAACTTCTAGCATAAATGGCTTTTTTCTTAGCATAAATAGCTCTGCCATTTATTAACCTCTAGCATAAATGGCCTAGCCATTTATTACTCTCCAGCATAAACCGCTCTTTCTCTTTCGCAATTTACCTATTCCGGCAGGTTGTCTAGCATAAATGGCTTTTTTCTTAGCATAAACAGCTCTGCCATTTATTAACCTCTAGCATAAATGGCATAGCCGTTTATTACTCTCCAGCATAAACCGCTCTTTCTCTTTCGTAATTTACCTATTCCGGCAGGTTGTCTAGCATAAATGGCTAATTTCTAGCATAAATGACTTTTTTCTTAGCATAAATAGCTCTGCCATTTATTAACCTCTAGCATAAATGGCATGGCCATTTATTAACCTCTACCATAAATGGCCTAGCCATTTATTACTCTCCAGCATAAACCGCTCTTTCTCTTTCGCAATTTACCTATTCCGGCAGGTTGTCTAGCATAAATGGCTTTTTTCTTAGCATAAATAGCGCTGCCATTTATTAACCTCTAGCATAAATGGCCTAGCCATTTATTACTCTCCAGCATAAACCGCTCTTTCTCTCTCGCAATTTACCTATTCCGGAAGGTGGTCTAGCATAAATGGCTTATTTCTGGCATAAATGGCTTTTTTCTTGGCATAAATAGCTCTGCCATTCATTAACCTCTAGCATAAATGGCATGGCCATTTATTAACTTCTACCATAAATGGCCTAGCCATTTATTACTCTCCAGCATAAACCGCTCTTTCTCTTTCGCAATTTACCTATTCCGGCAGGTTGTCTAGCATAAACGGCTTTTTTCTTAGCATAAATAGCTCTGCCATTTATTAACCTCTAGCATAAATGGCATAGCCGTTTATTACTCTCCAGCATAAACCGCTCTTTCTCTTTCGCAATTTATGTATTCCGGAAGGTTGTTTAGCATAAATGGCTAATTTCTGGCATAAATGGCTTTTTTCTTAGCATAAATAGCTCTGCCGTTTATTAACCTCTAGCATAAGTGCAAAGCCATCTATTAAGCTCTAGCATAAATGGCATAGCCGTTTATTACTCTCCAGTATAAGCAACACTGTCTCTTTCGTAATTTATGTATTCCGGAAGGTTGTCTAGCATAAATAGCTCTGCCATTTATTAACCTCTAGCATAAATGGCATTGCCGTTTATTACTCTCGAGGATAAACGGCTCTTTCTCTTTGATAATTTGTGTATCCGGGACGTTTGTGTGTCTTACCTCAATTTAAAAGAGGTCGAGACGTTTCATAATCTGAAATATATTTTTTAAAGGTTTTTAAACTGTTTTAATAAAATACGAAATTAGAGTATTGCCCATTTCAATAATCTCTGTGTCATCATGCACTCAACATGAGTACTCCGCCTCTCGAATTCTCGGGAACGTCGGGGGGAAGGGATCACTAGTTTATGAAGCTTACGCACAAAAACAGTTTGTCCTAAAGCCTTTTATCGAAACATTCTTTTATCGTAAAGGCCCGGCTACAGCTTACGCGAAGAAAGGCGAGAAGTTACAGATAATGACTAAAAAATTACTATCCTTGTACAAGTCTCTGTCTAATTTCAAACTGCCTAACTTAATCTGTCCTTCAATGTTGAGAGATATAAAATAGCCTTTCTTTCTGTAAATATTTTAAATGTGTTTTATTTCGCTAGAGGTACTTCTATTTTCGTACGAACAAGTACATCTTCATTCTTTACCTTGAGAGAGAGAGAGAGAGAGAGAGAGAGAGATAAAATCAATAGCTAAATCTCGAAACAGTATAAAAGAGAAAAGAAAAGTAGACCAGCGACAATACAGAAATAGGTTGAACCAGTCACACTAGAATCTAAAATACACACGTTGTATATAACAATTTTAACTACAGTTTTATTTTTATATATTTCGTATACATATTTTATTAACTTCGCTGAAGTAGACCTCAATTTAAAAGAGGTCGAAACGTTTTATTGTCTTAAATATATCTTTTAAATATTTTTAAACTGTTTTAATAAATACGAAATTACAGTGTCTCCACTTTCAATAATTTCTTTTTCATCATCCACTCAACATGAGTACTCCGCTTCTCGAATTCTCGTAAACATGGAGAGGAAAGCGGTCACTAGTTTATGAACCTTTCGCACAAAAACAGTTTGTGCAAAAGCATTTTGCCGAAGAAGCATTTTACCGAAACATGATTATATCGAAAAGGCCCAGCTATAGCTTACGCGGACAAAAGACGGGAAATTACAAAGAATGACTAAAAAACTACTATCCTTGTACAAGTCTCTCTCTAATATCAAACTACCTGACTTAATCTGTCCTTCAATGTTGAGAAATATAAAATAGCCTTTGTTTCTCTAATGCGGGAGAGTAATAAATGGCTATGCCATTTATGCTACGAAAAAAGCCATTTATGCTAGACAACCTTCCGGGATAGACAAATTATGAAAGAGAAAGAGCCGTTTATGCTAGAGGTTAATAAATGGCAGAGCTATTTATGCTAAGAAAAAAGCCCTTTATGCTAGAAATTAGCCATTTATGCTAGACAACCTTCCGGGATAGATAAATTATGAAAGAGAAAGAGCCGCTTATGCTGGAGAGTAATAAACGGCTATGCCATTTATGCTACAGATTAATAAATGGCAGGGCCATTTATGCTAGGAAAAAAGCTATTTATGATAGTAAAAAAGCCATTTATGCTGAAGAGTGTCTCCTAGAACATATTTTCTTTCCACGATAGGGACCCATTTATTCTAGAAATACTGTGGGTAAGCCATTTATTCTTGAAACGGCGCAATTTATTTATCTAGTAATAAATTGTAACTGCTGTGATTAGTGGCTTGAAATCAACTAATAATTATTACTATCATAGGTCGTTTCATACTGTCAATAGCCAAAGAATGCATCAAT